TGTCTTTGTAGCTTGCTCAAGAGCAGTTTGTGAATCCTCCTCACTAGTATTTTGTTGTTCACCATTCGACAACTATTTTCAGTTTAAGCAACTGCCAAACCCCCCCAATCTATTGTCCAACAACAGATTACAAGCCCTACCCTGTTCCAAATGTCGTCGACCGCCCCTATTATTGTACCATTCTACCGCCTCTCTGCAAAGCTCGCTTCCTAAATGTATTCTAGGAGCCCCAGAACAGTGTCATCTTCTATTAGAGCCTGACAAATCCTAAGTTTTTAGAGATTTATCCTTCCCATACTTAAACTAAGAATCCATGCAACCTAACCTAACACAACCAAAAATAAAAAAAATTACATCATCCACTTAGCCCTGGATCTAACCCTAAACCTTATCTTTCTTTTTCATCAAAGTTTCTATTCGAAAAACGAGATATGTTACCAAAAATTAGCTCGCAACAAGTTGTTCACGAGCTCATTATGGAGGACATGACGGGCGAAATTCTCCAACCAAAATAGAGGCTTGATGCTTTTGAGAGGAGACAATCTGATGAGGGTACTCATAACCACGATAGTGACTCGTCAAATCAATTGGAGAAAGTCAATCCTTTTCATCAGGAAGTTTCTTGTGATGAAAAATCACTATCTTGAAGATTTGGTATAGAATATCAGAGCAGCCAAGATTTTGGAGTAAATGTGAATTTATTGGATTTTGATGGTCACATGGACTCGAACAAGTTTATCGAATGACTTTTATTAGTAGAACAAATTTTTTAGTACAAAGATGTTCCCCTAGAAAAAAGAGTTAAATTGGTAGTTATCAAGCTTATGAAGGATGCTTCTTTCTAATGGGGAACCTAAAATATATTCGATAGTGATGAGGGAAGAGTAAAACGATGAAAAGAGAAATACAACATAATTACCTTTCCCTGCATCAACGACATGATTTATTCATAAAACTCCCACCACCTATTCTAGAGAGTAACAATTTTTCCATACGGAGTGCGGACGCAACATTGCATGCAGGCTCAAGTAATATTTTGTTACGTGTGCTACACCGGGCCCACCTTATAAACATTGCGATGTGCCTCTGCAGTCCCATTTCAATAATCTCCGCAGAACAACTCCAATAAGTCCCCAATAACGTCGTAATAACCCTTCAATAACACTGCGCGAAGAACCAATCCAATAACGTCGTGGTCCTGCTTCATTAACCCCCACAGAATAATTCTAATAACCGCTTCGGTAACGCCACAATAAACCCCCAATAACACCACGCAATGAACCACTGCAATAACCCCCCAGTAACCCCGTAAACTAGCTTTAATAACCCCCTAATAACTTTGAAACCTAACATTTAGAATTGGATGATGACGAAGATGTGATTTGTATCAGGGAATTGATGGCTAAGAAATTTATTAAATGGAGTAGGTTAGATGATGATGATGATGATGTGGTTTGTATCAGGTAAGTGATGGCTAAGAGATTTGCTAAATGGAGAAAATAACATAAAATTCATATGTAAGTAATGATGTCTTGGACTTCTCAAGTATAATGTGACTGGTGTCTGATTCCATTAGAGAAACAAGAGGGTAATATTATATTTTTTTTTTATCATTTTATTAAATATTAAGTGTTATTGAGGGTTATTGCGACTTTATTGGGGACTTGTTGTAGTTGGTCTGCGGGGGTTATTGAAGTGGAACCACTGAGGTTATTGGAACAGTTCACCTCGCGGGATTATTGAGGGGTTATTGCGGCGTTAGTGAGGACTTATTGGAGTAGTTTTGTAGGGATTATTGAAGTGAAACTGCGGTAGTTATTAGAGCGGTTTACCGCATGGTGTTTATAAGATGGGCCCGGTGCAGCATACGTGGCGGCATATTACTTGAGTCCGCGCATAGCTGTGTCCGCACTTCGTATGAAAATTTTTTTTGTTAGAGAGATTCTTTTGTGGATGAGTATAGTTGAATTTGATTAATTCATGTTGAAATGTTAGTTGATAAAATTAGAGGGGCACACAATAGCGAGGTATCTTCGATGACTGAGGTCATCAATTAGTAATGTGGTGCAGTTAGAACCGTTTTTGTCCCTACTCGACTTACAAGCCCTCGCTTTGAAGGAGTAACAATATTACCAAATGACTACCACCCCTTACAGATAGAGTTCAACCACAGGATCGGGTAGCAAGTTTAAGCCCATCGGAGCATCCAAGTTGACCTTGTCACGGGTGAAACCAGTCATGAGTGAATGAAAAGTAGAAACCACCAGCGCACCCAAATCTGTGTCAGCTAGAAGTGTTTCAAGTATCACGGTTTTGAGCATATTGCATCAGATTAAGTGAAACTGTTTTTGTCCCTACTCGACTTACAAGCCCTCGCTTTGAAGGAGTAACAATATTACCAGATGACTACCACCCCTTACAGATAGAGTTCAACCACAGGATCGGGTAGCAAGTTTAAGCCCATCGGAGCATCCAAGTTGACCTTGTCACGGGTGAAACCAGTCATGAGTGAATGAAAAGTAGAAACCACCAGCGCACCCAAATCTGTGTCAGTTTGAAGTTTTTCAAGTATCACGGTTTTGAGCATATTGCATCAGATTGCCCAAATTGTAGAACTATATCTTTTATTGAGCAAGGAGCAATTGAAGAAGTAGAGAGTGATACAGGAAAGAATGAAGACATCAATGAAAAGTATCAGCTTGTATTCGATGAGGGAGACATGCTAATGATTCAAGTTGAGCCTATGAGAGAGACTCTAGCAGGATTAACATTGGTTATCCTAGAAGATAATGAGCTCAAGGAGTCGATACTAAAAGTGGGGCAACCCTACTGAGGGAATTTTCAAATATCCTGTGATTGTATACTTTTGGGGTAGCTATCACCGATAGAGATTCATAATATCAAAGACTTTATTATATATTTGTTTTGTCAAACCCACTCTCCTATGGGATGCGACCAGCCAAGTACGTGAAGTTGCAAAAATGCATTACACACTTGGTAGTTAGAGGCTTTATTCATGAGAGTACTAGCCTAGGTGCAACTCTAGCTTTGATTTTGCTAAAGAATGATTGTTATTTATTCTATCAAGTAATATTTTGGAATAACTTATCTGATTTAGAGTTGCATAGAATAGCGTATGCATAGATTTTATAGTGGGACTGCCTCTACTATTTCAATACGATGACTTTATTATGTTGGCAGTAGATTGATTCCAGAAACATCCAACAAAGAAGGCGAAGCCTCCCCTAACCAAGGAGAGTGACATGGGACACAATTTTGTTACTGACGTGGGAGTTTCGCAGGCCAGCTCCCAATATCCCACTATTATGGAGCTCCTGAGATCATGGGATTGACAAATGCCCGATACTCCCTATTTCAACATTTTTTTTTCTTTTTAAATTTCTTTCCTATTTATCTATTTCGACTTAAATTATTGAACTCTTATATATTTTTATTTTGTTGTTTGAGGAGTTAGTTTGGTTTATGTATTTTGAGAGTTTAATCTTTGATTTTCTGCTTGGAGTGTTGTATCCTCTTTCTATTGCAAGTTGTGTGGATGTAGCTTTCTCGGCCCAGACTTAGTCACTCTTAGTTCGGTCGTTGTTTTCAATTCACACAACAACTGAGCCCCACTAACCGGCTGTCCAACAGCAGATTTTAACCCCTACTCGTTTCCAAATGCCGTCAACCGCCTCTGTATTCCTTCTCATACCGTGCTACAACTACCTCCCTACAAAACCCGCTTCCTAAACACCATTTAGGAGCCCTAGAATAATATCACATTTATATAGATACCACCCAATTCTTATATATTTATATATCTAACGCCTGAACTTTGCTTTTTTACATTTATACCACACAAATCTTTTACATCACACAAAAGTACCACCTTTTCAACTTTCAAAATGTGAAATACACCTTTTCATGTATAGGTAAAGTGTAATACATTTAAAAATTGAAGTTTAGGTGTTAGATATGTGATAACATAAGAGTTGAGTGATACACATGTAAATCTTCCTTAAAAACCTTTTAACCATTTTCTTGGTTCTATATGTGTTGGGTGAGGTTGGTGTTGTAACCATACATGTGAGTTGAATTGTCGTTATGTATGCTCCATTTGTCATGGATTTGGGAGCAAGCAGTTACTATTCAAGATTGGAGAACTAAGGTGGTGTTTGGTACCATCCTGTTAATAAGATTTATCCACGGATTTAACTTAAATCCCGCTAAACATCAAAAAAATGAAAATATATATCCAATGCTTAATCAAATCAATTTTTTTCATATTTTACAATGTAAATCTGGATTTAGTAAATCCAATCATGAGGCGGATTTATTCCATCGTCGCTTACGAGCTCCTTTGTTTGTGACTAGATTTGGTGAATCCAGATTTATCAGATTTGATAAATCATATTTAACGTAAATTTAACTTGTAGCCAAACACCACCTTAGGGTTGCAGGTCTCAACTGTAAAAATGGCTGTGCTTGATATAATAAAACAGAACACTTTGGATGTGATTGTAAGGAAATGATCTAATATAATGTGGGTTTAACTTGTATGGTAATTTTCCAGTAATAGAAATTTCTTTGTGGATGCAAACGTGTGAGAGACTTTTCTTGATGATTCTGTGTGATCACCTCCCGCGCCGGTGGAAGCCTCTAAATGTTTATTGATTGTCAGGATTAATATATATTTTTCATACTTCTAACTGGTCTGTGCGCATTCAGATTTTTCTATTGTGAAATCAATCTCTCAGACATAATTTTAATATTTGATTGTCATGGGCTTGATTACAAAAGTTGTTAATTTTAATTAGTTGAATAAATGAACCTCGTTTCCATTTATGGATGGTCCTCGGGAAAAAACATATTGACAAGATTCAGTGTGATTTTTCTTATGTATACTTTAATTTTCTCTTGCAGATTGCCTGAATATCAGTGTTTCTTAACATGTAAGGTTTCCAAAGCATAATTTGTTTTCTCACCAATTGTTATGACAGGTCGTGGAATGCCTTGTAAAATTGCTTGGAAGAAATGGAGATTTCGTTGAGGATATTGGCACTATATACTTGGCGTGCGATATCATTTTGAACCTGCTATTAAGAGTAACTTCAGAATCTATTTATCTTTTATATTTGCATCTGAAATTTTGTATGGCTCAGATTTTGACTAATTATTACTTATAATTTTGGTTAAGAGAAAAGAACTTGGAAGTCAAATAGACGGATTTCAATTTCTCATACTTTTGCAAGGTCTATGTTCCTGGGCAGGTATGATTTTTTGCCCTTTAGATTATTCAAATGTCTTTGCTATATGTACATGATAAGGATTTAGGCTTGATAAAGAATTCCATTCTTTCTTGCTTTCTGGCGTAAATTATTTATGAGAATTATTTTTCTTCATCAATCTGTACAATAATGCATTTGCATCAAGTTGGTTTCAGACTCTTTATACAATAATCATGTGGAAAAAAACTAATATACTTTTTATGTACAATATGAGAAAGTTCTTCATATAGTTTTTTCCCCCCTAAAGAAAAAGGGATTTGATAGCAAAATTTTAAAACCAGCTTCATTTATTTTTTTTTCTTTTACTTAACAAATATATATTCCCTGATAAATCATATTACAAAACTAAAATTTGGCCTGCTAGCTGAGACCGTTTTAGCATGGCAACTATAGATCAGAGTCAATAAAGATCTCTTTTGAGGTAAAATCTTCATTTTGACCTATCTAAGGTTATTTTTTGGAGAGTTGTTTAATGATATTAACCTGTGGGGATGAAGTCGAAAGTAATCCACCAAAAAATTTTTACATATCCGAGGTTGGTTGTCAAAGCATGCCTATGGATGAGGTTGAGTGTAATCAACCAAGACTTTTTAACATATCCCATGTTTTTCTTAGAACCATGGCTCGAAAATATTAACATGTGTGGACGAAGAATAATGTAATCCACTAAGGATTTTTGTTTACTTTTCTTATATTGTTGGTCATAGCATGATTCGACGATGTTAACCTGTTTGGATGAGGTACCTCGAGTGTAATCCACCATAAAATTTAACATATTTTGGGTTGTTGGTCGGTGCGTGGCTTAACCTGTATGGATGAGGTTGAGTGTAATCCACTAAGAATTTTTTTACATATCTTAGGTTGTTGATCGAAGCATGAATAAATGATATTAATCTCTGTGAACAAGGTTGAGTATTACACCAATGATTTTTTACTTATCCTAGGTTTTTGGTTGAAGTATCTAGTCGATAATTGTAAACTCTCTGGAGAGGTCGAATTAAATCCCTCTAGGATTAATTAAGCCTAGATTAAGGTGTCAGTTTTTTTGTGTCTCTAAAGTTTAGGACATCAGTCGAGATGAACTGTACTATTCTTTGAAAATATGATTGCAGTCATACTCGGGAAATAAATTTAACGACTTGTTGCTTTTGGGTTTTTTGACCCCTAGTAGAGGTGTTTTCTACACAAACTTGATTTTTTTTGTATAAATTAGCCCAAATATTTCTGTTGAATTCACCTTTCAATTTCTTCAATAAGTTAATGGCATGATTCAGTGGTTTGACTGGACTTTGATGGAAGTGATAGTATTGTTTTTTTATTCTTTTAATTTGGTCTTAATGGGGGTGTTCATGTAATATGTTCATCTTGAATGACCATCAAAATATTTTTAACTTGTGTTATGTTGAGTGGTGTGTATCCATTTTCTATTTGGGGCTCATGTTGCTGGTTTAGAGGCTGAGGAGGGAGATTGGTGTGTGAATTGGCATTATCCAGGAGGTCAGCTTCCTGGCCAAGTTGAGGAGAAAGCCTAAACGAACATTTTCTTCCTAGGCGTTTTCAATAAATGTCTGTTCTTGTTGTAAGTGAGTTCCATCGATTAGCACTATTGTCGGTTATCAAGTCTTGTGTAAAAGATAAATGATCTCATTTTGATTTTCCGCCATTCTACGCACATAGTCTTCCAAGGTTAATGAAAAGACACCATTTTCAGTAGGGTAATGTCTAATTAGGAAAACAGAAGCAGTTGTCTAATGTCCCTTACTTCTAGACCATTCCCTAGAATGGTGGGTGTTGGAGTGGGAGGCTCTATTGTTTTGAGTGTTATGCTTAGGAGACATAGAAAAGATGAGATTGTGGTTCCTACAGACGACGCTAAACTGTTTCGTGCGATAAAATTCTCTATGATAAAAGAAGCTTAAGCTTTAACTCAATATATTTTTTCAACACACACACGTATATAATTGTAAGAGATAACTAGAATTTATGTGGAAAAATCCATTAAAAATTTGAAAGTACATATGTCCACTATTCTCATGAATTAGAGAAGAGATTACAAAATTTTGTTGAAATCAATACTACCTTGAAAACCCAACAAATCCAACTTTATAGGGATAGTTGGGACTACAACAACTATAGTTGGTGGCTACAATAGTTAAGGCTAGAAAAAAGCCGCTCAAGCTCAACTTGTGTTCGACTCGTTTAAAAAATATTATTTTTTAATTTTGTCATGTTTGAAATTACTCGTGAACAATCTTTTTGTATTCGACTCAAATTTAAGCTTAACGGCCAGAACTCCCACACGGGACCGGAATGTAAAGCTCATATGAGGGATTTCCCTTTATACATTTAAACACCTTCAAGGTTATAAGCTAAGCTATACTAAGGATGCAGGACTAAACAAATAAAATGGGATATCTAAAAATGTTGTTATTAGTTTTGTGACTTATTGGACCCTGAATTTCCAAATATCGCACTCGCTTCTACTCCGTCGTCATCTATGTCGTTAAAAATCATGCAATAAGCTCTCTCATTCTTCTAGTCTGCGAAAGGCTCCCACTGCTCATTCCTCCTCTTGAACCTTTAACTGCAAGGAAATTTAGAAGCTCCGATACTGGCACCGCTCCGTCCCCCTCCTTGCGCTCGATTCCTCCAGCCATCCCTCAGTGAAACAGATGGAGACTTCTCCCAGTCGCCACCACTCCTTTGCCTTTGGATTTAAAAAAAATTTGATTTAAAAGAAAAAATTGATTTAGTTTTTTGTTTATTTTGTGGGATAAAAGGCTTGTTGTTGTTGTTGTTGGGCTACTTTCAGTGCAATCAACAATGTTTAAAACTTTTACAAAATTTGTACTCAAATTTTTTTTGTTGTAACTTCGAGCGAATGAATCATGTTCAGGTGGAGCAACTAAGAGCAATGAAGATAGTGCAATTTTTGGTGAGCAGTGAGCCATTTCACAAAGTAGAAGAAAGGGAGAATTTGGTGCCCGGGATTTTTAGCGGCATAGACAACGGAGTAAAACGGATGTGTTGTATATGTAAATATAAATGTTTAGGTGTGTACTATGTAAATAGGTATATTTTGAGTGTTATGTTCCCTTTGGGCCTTAACATACATACCATCCATCAAATTCTTATGTATTTATATATCTAACACCTAAAATTTACTTTTTACATTTTACCAAACCAATCTTTTATATCAAATTTTTTTAAATGAAGTATAAAGAATTAATGTAAAAAGTATATAAATAAATATTATTATTTAATTATTTAATTATTTTGGGTTATTTTGGGTCAAAGTGAACCGAACACGCATGAAGAAACATTTATTCTTGTTTGGCCCGTTTATAAATTGAGCTAAAAAAATTGTTTGTGTTCAGCTCGCTTGCGTAAGGAATGAATCGAATATGAGTTACTTAACGAGCTGAATAAGAGTAGGCTGCGAACGATGAGTTTTTTTTTTTTACAGCCTTGGCAATAGTCATAGTTGGCTACAAGGATCTTATTTGGTGGCTACAACGTCCATAGTTGGCTACTACAAATGTTGTTTGTCTACGACATCCGCTTGTGGTGATCGACAATTGCTATAAATTGTTGGTCTTACTCTTCAAGGGTCATGCTTTAATTGTCAATTTAGGGGCCTATAGTTTTTGTGGGAGTCATTTTGGTAAATTTGACCAACCTCCCAAAACTCTATTGGACCAGTCTGTGTTGATTACTTTTATCAAATGTTATTTTTATTGTAATTTTTTTAAGGATCTCAAAATTATAGTATATTAGGCTCATTGGATTCCTCTGTTCGAGTGCTCGACTTAATTATAAACATGTCAAATTTTGAGATTATTTGGTTCTCCAATTAATATTCCAATATTTTAAATTGCACTTCAACTGCTAGATATGGGTTTGATTTAAGTCGATTTGAATCACACTTTCAGTACCATTATGTTTATCTTGTCGAGATGCTCATTTTCACAATAAATTTATTAAAATTGAGGTGCATATGATCTGGAATTTAAATTTAGAATATTTCTTACTTAAAATGCATCAAGCTTCTGATACCATTAGACACCTTTTGGATAGTATAGCTACCTCTGATTCTGTTAATGTTTTGATTTGTTTTGTGAGCTTGGCCATACAATATGCTGTCAACTGCTAATTTAAAGTGCATTAAATTCCCCTGATGTTGCCATGGTCTCAATATAGTGGCCTTTTTTTTCTTAATTGCTCGTGGACTAATTCGTTGCCACTTAAGTGAAAGGAAATGGTATTTTTCATATCTCGTGTGAATGCTTGAGAAGCTACTTCTCTTTTTTAGTTGACATTTTTTTTTAAATTTCTGCGCCGTCGTCATGCTTTCCACATCATCATTTAGTTTCTTTTGGCGGCCAATCAATTAACCAATAATCTCTTCATCTTTTATCTTTTCACATCAAGTCGGCATCTTTCCTGCACCCATCTGACTTATGCTTTTAATTATCACTGTGCTAATATGTTCATAGAGAAAAGCAACGATCCATCTGCTATTATGATGACTTCAAGCGTTTGTGCCCTGGTTTTTGACTTAACATCAGAGAAGAATCTCTTAAATCATCCTGAATTTAGCCATAGTACCCTCGAACGATTGTCTCGGCTCATTATCAGAAGTTTGGGCCAGGTTTGTCTCATCTTCCTCTTCTGTTCATGCTACTCATTCTGTGTGATTTCAAGCTCTTTATTTATCCATTAACAGGGGCTGCTGAAGGATGAGTCCAATGCCCACCACGACCTCCTTCAAATTATTCGCTCAGGTTTGTGGATCTTTCTCTTCTGTATTCCCTGTAATTCTCCTCTTATCTTCCATTTGCCAGGTTACATTGTTTGTTATGATAATATATATATATATATATGGGAAATTTACATTTGTAACACACAATTCTTACATATTTACATATCTGACACCTAAACTTTCATATTTACATACTGTTGAGAAAATAAGGTCGAAGAAAAACTAGAACGACACAAATCCAGAAGAACACAGAGATTTAACGAGGTTCGACAAAGATGCCTACGTCCTCGGGAGCAGAGCGGCGAGTTCCTTTCAATAATCAGAAAAGAGTTTACAGAATTCAGGGATACCTCCTGGGGTTACTAATAGGCCTATTTATAACCCCAGGAGTAAACCTAGGCACAA